GGGGGCGGCTACGTACCCGCTGCAGGTGTTGCGGAGTCGGTTGCAGCAGCATGATGCGGAAGCGCAGTTTGGGAGGGGGATTTCGGGGGTGGTGAGGAAGTTGTGGCGGGAGGAGGGTGTCAGGGGGTTTTATCGGGGCGTCATGCCTGGCGTGGTGCGGGTGCTGCCCGCGACGTGGGTTACGTTTTTGGTGTATGAGAATGTAAAGTATTATCTGCCCAGGTGGGTGGAAGGTGATGAAGGGAAGGTGGCCATTTAGACTAGACGAGGAGGCGCTCTGTGAGGATATCCTTTGATAGACAGTTCCGTTTTCCCTGACGGTCCTTCATGACCGTCAGACTGTGACACTAGAGGTGGTTGTATCTGTTTTACAATGTGACGGTTATCCGTCCCCATCAGGCTATAATCATGGTGAAGTCTTTAGTTCCGTATAGTAGGTCTCGATCTACCAAAACGTAGGCACCATTATAGCGGTAGCGGTAAATGGCCGCCTAGTAGTAATGGATGGTTGTCAGGACTGCGAGGGCAATAGCGCAGGCAACTGGTCTTCCGGCGAGTCGACAATCGAAGACCAGGCGAGGAGTCGAAGAACCGAAACTATAGACAAACAATGACGAGAGAGGGGCATCAGCATGTGCACAGTGAACCATCCTACAACACATTGAATCCGACACAGTCTCTACCCTATACTGAGGCAATACATTGAGTCAACACTTCACGCTGGTTCATAAGCCATTAGGTTACCATATATCTAACCAACAATGCCAACCTTTGCGTCGTGAAGCTTTCAGCCCTCGCAACAGTAACAACCATCCTGCCGTATCAACTTCAGGCTTAAACCGAGTCTCTACGCCCCGTTTATCTCGGACACAAACCCCCCAAGCCAGTCATGCAAGACTTCACCACTTCACTTGACCAACATATAGGCCTAAATCATCAACTAGAGTTCGCAATGATACCGTGCTAGACAAGAGGTCAACTTCCAGCCAGGGTGACTGCGTATCGGCGAGTAGCAGTGTGTTCCTTGAGTCTCAACAGGCTCAGTGAACCGGCAGGTAGCTGAATCATACTTCAAGTTCCAAGTTCAGACCAAGTTTAGAGCAAGTTCAAGGGACCGGCACTACCGCAACACTATCTCGCAGGAAGGAAGTCCATACTCCCACCATTCTGCAAGCGCTCACACTCGTTCCTACCACCCCATCTCCCTTTACTCTCTGAACTCGAAGTATAGATGCCGCCGAAACCCTTGATCAGAGGAACGAAAAAGAAAGTTATTCGGAAGCCCAAAATCTACTCGTTATTGACTCAGTTTCTCTCATTCTAATCCATTCACTCTCTTCCCTTCCCCTCTCTCTATTTTCCTGGTTTCCTTTACACAGTACTTCTTTCTCTTTCCTTGATTTGTTGCTCCTTGCTTCTTTCACTTTTCTTGCTCCTCGCACCCTGCTCCCCGTCCCAAGTTCTGCTTCTTTTGGTTAGAAGTGCCCGTCACCCCATCTCTGTCCCCCAACTTCACCAGTCCGCCACGTGCTTCACGCTTCCAAGCCCAACCCAAGCAACACGCGCCGATTTACCCGCCCCAAATGAGGTCATCTCACGACGCCCACGCTATCGAAGAAGCCACCCTCGCCACGCCGTCGGAGCCAGGTCGCCAACTCCCCACCAATCCGGTCAGTCCTTCATCACAACATGGCCTCTTCACTCGCCATCCATCCATCACCATCACCATCAGCCATTAGCCCCATCTCTTCCTTCCCGTCCCCAAAATAGTCAAGCCATGCGGGAGAGGGTACCCTAATGAGCAGCCAATATTCGCCTCAGCGCCCAGGACACCACGGTTCGCCCCATCCCGCCCGTTCTCATAATTGAGATCAGCCAACACCCGAGACACAAGGACAATCCCCCCCCCCCCGCCCCTCCCCTCCCCTCGGCACAGTACGGCCGATGCCTGACGGCAGCCCAACCGTTGATTATCGGTGCAGCCCCCAACACCAGGGTAGATGAAGCGGGAGTGGGAGAGTGGGAGAGTGGGAAAGAGACAGATAGAACAAGGAAAAGAAAATCACCGAGACGGTCGAGGAGCCCTGCCCCGTGGCGGAGTGGCAAGGGACGGAGACAGAAGGAGAGAGAAAACAAATGATGCAGACGCATGTGGCTCGGCCGAATAGGGGATGATCGGACGGGCCGGCAGGAAGCTCAGCCCAACCAGCAGCGCTTCCCGCCCAGTCGGTCCAGACCGGAGAAACAGAAGCCAGATCATTCCAGCCATCGCCCCCCCAATCTGTATTGCAGTAATAGCAGCAGCAGCAGCAGCAGCGTGCACGTACATAGAAGGGACATGGGCAACAAGCCTTGAGTGCTGGGGGCGGGAAAGAGTAACGTTAGAACCCCCCACCTACCCTGGTGTGGGTGTAGGTATGTATGTACGTTTGAACGGGATCGACTCCGGAAGACACACCCCTCCACGAAAAGAGAGACCGTAAAGGCACGAGTAGGATTGAGAGACGGAAGAGAGACCAAGGGACCGGCACCGGGAAACGAAAAACAGGAAGAGAGAACTCGGCAGAGAGCTTTCCACTGCACACCCGGCCTCGAAGATCCTCTCCGATCCCCCTCCCCGCAGCAGCGTAGCTCGCCACATTTCGCCGACCCCTATGTGCGACGTAGTTCAACAGCCGGAATGGGCAAGTCACTGACGAACGAACGAGGTAGCCGCATTGACGACGGCAGCATCATTCTTCAACGAAGACGAGAACGGGCATGGTGACACAGCCGAAACAAGACATGCAGGAGTAGTTCGAAACCAGGAAGTAGCGCATAGACTTGTCGCGGTAGGCGGCCGCAGCGGCGGGCCGGGCGTCAGACTCAGACCCCCAACTTGCGCTCAAGACAACAATCAATCTTGCAGCTTCTGGAGGAGCGAGATTCTGCAGACAGTCTCACCGCCACCGTGCGCATATGCAGGTACTGTACGACACGACAGAGTTTTCCAGCCACTGCGCAGTCGGGGACGTAACCAGAAGAGCGCCGTCGGAAGGGTGCATACATAAGGTGGGAGAAAAGAAAGAGTTGGGGATTCAGCCGGCCTAGTGTCATGTACGCGTGTGTGTATGTAGGTTGGCACGTTCGTAGTCAGGGTGCAGTCGAAACGAGACAGCCGCGCATCTGCAGCCGGCTTCTGGTTTAGCACCATCACTAGCTGCACGTCTGAAGAAAGGACTTCTGCATCTGGTTCTGTCAGGGGAAAGAAGACTCAGCTGGGTCTTCAACGAGTGGTAAGAGAGAACAGGGTAGGGCATGGTAGGGAGAGACAGAATGCTCCGCCTGTGTGTCTCGCAGTCCGATATGTCTAATGCATCGGAGGGGCCATCCGGCAGACTTAGGCCGCCGTTTGGGTCTCTTCCCTCACTATCGAGAGTAGAGTCGGAAGACAGAAAAGAGCGAAGCCAAGCCAAAACAGCGGGACGTCCTCGGAGTCCGTGAGGTCCTCCGCGTCGGAGCAAGTCTGACTGCTGGGAGGAGCCTGCAACGTCACAGCCGGCGGGCCCGCAAGATCCGCGGAGCACAACTCGGGGCAGCCTCCGGCGCGCCAGACTAGCCAGACGACGTTTACGTGCGTAGGCACGAACTGCGGAGGACAAGACAGCCTCCATCGCGTGCAGTGGAGGAGAAGAAGGCGCCACGCCCAGGCCGGGTAGCGCTGCCGGACTCAGAGCCACGATCCTCGTCCAGCGGAAACTCACGGACCAAGACCACACGTTGCCCTTCGCTCCCACAACTGACCCAGCATAGTGCTGTCGATCACCCGGCGGAATATCTCCCACACACGCGTTTCGTTTCGTGTGCGGGTAAGACATAGGGCCGAGACGGACGTCAACTCCACTCACTTGAGGGGAGCTGGGCAGCTGACGAAACGGAATTCAGCAAGGCGGGCTCGAATGATGAGGAAGCTAGCGTGCTGTGGGCATAAACAAAGGGGGAAAGAGGCGAAAATGGGCCAAGACGCTGGACCCTGGAGATCATCTCTTGGCTGTGGATCATCTCGACACCGCCAACGGGGGAGGTGTGTCCTGACACGACCCGCGATAGGGGAGGGGGCATTCCGCCATCGTTGAGGCTCATCAACGCCATTGCCGCTCTGCTGTGGATACTGCAGCCGGGATAGGCCTGCGATACTTCGTATCTCGCTCGAGATTCCGCAAGGGGAGCGCAGGGAAGGAGCTGGGGAAAGACAAAGAAAGAGACCGGGGAGAGAACAAGGGAGCCCAGTGCGGCTGACGGTTGACGGCTCTGCCCGCGCAGCAAGTGGAGATGGTTGAGCATCTCTTCCCGTGCCCGTTGGGGTTTGCAGAGCTGAGCCGCCAGACGTTGACGTCCTTTGCGGCAACCCCCACTGGAAACGTGCCTCGTCCGTTGGCGGGAAGAAGTTTGAATGGGAGTCTTCGAGTCCCTCGAGGACTCTACTCTGGGGGCCATGGGGGAACGACCGAGAGCCCCGGCCGATCTCCATTCTCGAGGGTTGACGGGCGTCTTGGCCGCCACTGCCGATTATTGAACAGATTTTCGGGAACCATCTTGACCAATCCGGGGTAAAATCCAGGGATGAGGATGCTGGCGGCCTAGATCGGGGGCCATTGAGCGGAGGGTGGATAGGGGGGCTCATTGGAGTGCGGCTCCCCAGGAAATTTTCCGTGGGCCCCCGGTTGAGCAGTGAGTAAGTTAGCCCGCAGGAGACTGTGACCGTGCTCCATCAGTCCGGCGACGCAGCCCTTCGGCTCTCGGGGACCTGGAAACGATGGATACAGAGCCATTGTAGCCATTGTCTCAACGGGGGGGTAACTTCTGTGACACACAGCACAGCATGCTCCGTGCTAAGATGCAGGTACCGAGTGCGGAGCCGGCGTTGTGATTGTCGGGAACCTGCCCGGATCTTGGAGACAGCTGCTGACTGCCGCTTCGGGGAATCGCCCGGGAAATCAAGTTCAAGGGCCGGCATGTCGGTATTCAGCCGCGCCGCCTCGCGCGGATGATCGCAGATGCGGGTGCGGATGCAAATGCTGAGTTTTGGTCAGGGGCGCGCCGGTGTTACCATTTGTCCTTCCATCCTAATTTGTCGGGAGATGCTCCGGGAGGGTCATGGCTCGTGTTGTATTCCCGAGTCTCAGCCGATCTGGAAGTGACATATGCATCCTCTCACTCGCAGTGGATAGATTTTTTGGCCCGAGTTTTGTTGGAACCGGTAATGCTCCGTTACACCGGGGATTTAGGAGTCTGTGTGTCTCCTTGCGGTAGGCCAGGGACGAGGAAAAGGTTGGACATGGTAAGCGGCCCCGGCACCGTCCCACCCAACCCGCCCCGACGAGTCTGTGCCCCCGTGCTGCCTCGAGCGAGATTTCCGATGCTGGTACCCGCAGTCACGATAAGATCTTGGGGGGGATGTTCCGGCTCCCTCAACCCGCTGGTTGGGTTCAGAGCAGAGCCAATGCTGTCTCGCCCGCCGCCGGTATCGCTCAAGGCAAAACACGCAATCCGCGCTAGGCGCATTGTGCCATGCAACTCCCTTACGGCCTGGGGGGGGGGGAGGGGAGAAAAAAGCTCGTCTCGAGGCCGTCAGGGTACACGCATCCTACCTTTCTTCCCCGCCCCCACCGAGGAAGTTGGGGGAAGGGACAGGATTTGCGGATGGCTGCAACATGGAGCGTCGAATGACGAGTTGACCATGCAAAGCTGGCAGAGCAAAAGGTGGATCCGGCTGTTGGGACATCACCGTCGACGTGACAATTGGCCTCGTGATATCCCTTGTCCCATTGTCCAATACAATAGCGGCATGGCCCGGGGGATGATGTGGTTGTTGTTGTTGGTGTTGTTATTGTTGCTGTTGTTTTTGTCGTGGCACATCGCAGACAAGGTAATCCGGCTTGTGGAGGAGCCGGTTTTTCCAGCAACTAGCAGCCCGTTTGTGTCCAGACCCTCTCTCAGCCCCGCTCGATAGTGAGAACAGGTCTGCCTCGTGGCATCTGTAGCGAGGTTGGCCCTCTGAAACCGGCAAGGCGTGGCTGAACTCTCAAATGAGGTCAGGGAGAGGCTGTGTTTTTACAACCAAGCCGTTTTCTGTTTCCACCCATTGTAGTTATGTAGCTCGGCCCACCGTTAGACAAAATTGGCGATGCGGTCTCTCGCGCAACGGTGCCATATCCATGCCTGAGCCATGTACCGAGGGTATCAAACCCCCCCGCGAGGCGCAAAAATGAATATGCTCGACGGTGGCGGCTGACCCGCCGACATGGAACGGGGACGTTTGATGGTGGGCGAAACGCGGCGGCGGGTGACATCCACCCACCATGAGCAGAAAAAGAGGGCAGGAATGGCAAGGTTCAATGACATTAGCGTGTTTTTCCCGAAGCAGCGGCTGTAACCGATGGCAACTGGCAACCGAGCTTGGTAGCCAATCGCGGGGCTGAGGCCGGGGAGCAGACCTCGTGGTCTCTTGTTTCAAGGGCCGAAAGCCCCCCAATCTTGGGGTCCGACATTTCCAACATTATCTCTTGGCGGTAAGCGGAACAACGACAGGAGAAGCGAGCCTATGATGCCATGAGGGCCGGCGATTGTCCACGGGAGCATCTCGTGATGACGAGGTGGTAACGGAGGGGCAGAGTGTTCGGGGAGGATCGCTGCCGGATCTGCTTCGCCAAGAGCTGTCGGCAAAGGCAACTTGCAGAAAAGATTAAATGGGATCGAGATGCGAGTGAAACATTGGTTAAGTTCGAGTTGCCGAAGTTGGAATTTCGTTCATCGCGGCGTATGGGAACGACATGATCTGAGTGCCAATGATGCGAGTGGTGCCAGTGGGTTTCGTTCAGTGCCTAGAAACTGGAGACTGGCGACTGGGAGACTGGATAGCTCTCGCTCTCCGCGACTACCCAGTATCATTCCAGGGCTCGCATGGATGGGGATGGGACTTTCTAGTGGTGGAGTGGAGGCGATGGAATAGAGGTCCAGTGGTACACAGGAGAACTGTGGAGGTAGGCGGGCGGGACTGATGGAGGGAGACAGACTCTCACACAGACTGGAGACAAGACAAGACGGAAGGAACGGTGTGGGGCTTCCCTCCCTTCCCGTTCCGTACCGTCCCAATGTCCACTTCCAGGTTACCTGCCGTTGCAACCTCCTTCGGAAAGCAGGGCACCCCCACGTCGCGAAATTACAGCAAAAAAGGAGCAATTATCTGCAGCTCGTGGCACCTGCTTTTACCCTCTGCCTGGTAATAAAAACTCTTCCCGGTCGATATGCGTCCTTCAAGCCATGCCCAAACCACACCGACACAAGATGAGGAGCGGTCTACAAATCTCCGCCACCATTTATAGCCGTTGTAAGCACGTGTCGTTTCGGCGTGTCAGCGAATTCGGTGCCACGAAGTGGCATAGCGCCCTCCCGAAATGTGGCATGGGACTTTTGGCGACGGGCCAATTGACTGTGAAAGATTGCCCCGAGCCTGACACGGGGGATCTCCCGCAACCAGAGCGCTGGTATCAAGAGGCAAGGGCGACTGCGCGCTACCCCTGAAACAGAAATGAGGGGTGGGGTTGCCGCTCAGTACCTACTTGGTACATGACAATACGAATGTTACCTTACCTCACCTCCAACCGCACCTGTAAGGATGGGATGCGGATGTGCATACCACACCAGGAGACAATCACCTGGTTTGGAATTGCACCCAACGGCTATCTACCGTTAGGCAGTTATACATGGTAGCCAGGTATGCACATAGCTGAACCGTTATCCGGGGCGGGGGCGGAGGCATTGAACGGCTGTCTTTTCCACTCTGCCACTTACGGCATCCCCCCCCCCCCCCCCTTTCCTTTTTCTCTTCGGCCTTCGACCTACGCGCAGAACCATTTCTCTTCTTCCCGCCTCCCCCCTTGAGCCCTGCCAGCCACCTTCCTGGCAGTATGTACGATGATGGGTTTGGGAAATGCGGGCAATCACCGTCGCTTCGATTATCCCACGCTGATTGGTTTGGCTCCGGTAGATCGGTTTGCCCGAATGCCTCACTTTCCTTGTCTAAGGCCGCTGTTAGCCCCGTCGGGGAAGCCCTCATCATCGCCGGGAACCTGGACGGACCGCATCGGACGGGTCGCTGGAAATGAAACGGCCCAGGCTTTCGGGGTAGCATTGCGGCTCAGATGACGCTGCCCATGATCATGGCCGCCGGAGCCAGAAGCGCGCGAAGGGCAAAAAAAAGTGACTTTGGTGCGTGTCCGCTGGCACCAAAGCGGGTCCTCCTTGTCGATATGACCTGCCGCATCTGTCTTGACCTGCAGGTGGCCAGGCGAGCTTGCGAGCAAAGGCGATAGCTCAGATCTGAAGGGCGCTAGCATACTTCTTGCGGCCGGGGCCGGCTTCCGGGGCGATCTAAAAATCTCTGGGCTCAGAACTACCGGCTCCGGTTGGCTCTCCTTGGGACAGCCAGAGCCCACAACCGCGGACCCGGAAACGTGGTGTGGCAAACGCTGCACGGAATGGGTGCCTTGGTTTGGCAAGGGAGTCCATCGTTGCCAGAGGATGCAACCTTGTCATTTGCGAGCTGAAACGAGCTCTATGCACTAACAATATCTGCCACTTCCCTCAGTTCGAGACATGGCTCCCGAGGTGAGATCTGGGGTTGACGCTCGGATCTATGCATCTATGGGTTGGGTGTTGTTGTATGGGGGGAGGGGAGGTATTGAGCTGAATTCTCCCTACGCCCGCCTGAAGCTTGTGGCGGTATGGAGGCATGTAGGTACCTAGAAAGAAGAGAGAGAGAGAAATAACAGGAATAGAACTGCGGCTGGCGCTGCCCGCGAGTTGTCGGAGGCGGGGTCGAGAGGACCTGGGTACATTTGTCCTGCGATGCATGAATTATGATAATTTACCCACATACAACCGGGACATATTTCGTACTTTTGTACGTATCCGTGCACTACGAGGCGTCGGGGATTTTCAACCAACGAAAAGGGCAACCACTTCTCCACCATGTGGGGACACTCACCGCAGCAACCCATGTACACCGTAACTTCAACTGGTGGCCTCTGAGGAAGATCGACGGCGGGATGGATGGGAGGAGCTGAAGGTTGCTAGGGAGTTCTGGGATTGGGGCGCCCGCTATGGAGTACACTACACACAATCGAACATTCGAAAGGGCGGAAAGCAACAACTAAGAGCTAACTATTCGTGACTGGGTGGCGATTCTTGCGGTCATCGCGACAGTGCTAGGGTGCAGTACCACGAGATCCTTTTGTTGGTGTGGGCGAAAAACAAGGAGACGAAGCGAGCTGAAATGGTGGTGGTCCCGACACCACCTACCCACCGGCCGCATGCACGGTCCACACCGGGATGCATCTCTCGGTCCCCGGTGTTGCGACAGTGCGGTCAGCAACCGTGGTATTGGAAACCGAATGCCGCGCCCGGGTTGCTTGATCTGGGTGTTGGCCTGTGCGCCATGGTAAATTACACGACATTCCGACTTTCCGCGGCGGGAGCAAGCAGGCGAACTGTCGCGAGTCGGGCACGTGCGAGGTGATGAAAAATATCACTGGGCGAATGGGTTCGTCCAGAGATGGCGACGACTCCCGCATGCGATAGGCAACGGGCCAAACGTCAAACGTCAAACGGGCGGGCGGGCGAGTGGGGGAGCGGAGAGGTGGGTTTTCAGTGTTTGATGGCAGGATGGTAGGATGGACAGGATGGATGGATGGGACTTGCCGCGCTGAGCCAGAAAAAGGCCTCCAGTGAAGGGGGGGAAGTGACAACCCAACACGCTGGAAGGTGCAAGACCCTCCCACCCCTTCCAGAGGAGTCGCCCAATTCGTTGAACGGAGTCTCTGAGTGGCACCCCAAACCCTTGTCGATGTATCGTGCCTGCTACCACACCCTATCTGCGAAAACTTTCCACGCACATCCTGCCGTCGTCGCTGCCTTTTCTTCCACGGGGGTCCATTCAAGTTGAAACCTCTGCAACACTCCAACACTCCAACACAACAAGTCCCTCATGGAACCGCAGATGCCCCCCATGCGCAAGATGTGCCAGATAGGGCATGCTTGCGAACGGAGCCGATAAGCAATAGGACGCGCAGGACACGCAGGACACGCAGCACGCCCAGAACCACGACAATACAACGCTGAGAGATCGAAGAGGGGCCATGAGATCTCAACTCGCGCCATCTACTAGTCGTCATTTCTCCTGCAGGATCGTGTTCCAGCGCCAAGTAGCCGCCTGAAGCAGCTTGCAGCTTGCAGGTTGGCTTTCACACCCTCAACACCAGCCATCGCTACAGTAAAAAGAAAGGGCGGGAGATGCCGGTAAAAAGAGGTCTGGAACTGAATACGCCCCCCTGGCACCTGGCTTGCCCTCTGTGCGTCCAGTCAGCTCCCTGTCGGCCAAATGTCTCATTCTCGACCCTGAAAGGGACAAGTCGAGGGTGTCTGTTTACGGCTAGTTATCTGCCACCCCTCCCCCCCGGGCAGCCACCAAAGTGATACAGCATAACCCCGGCTCGTCTGCCGTGGCTTCAGGCTCCGCTTCTCTGGTGGGGGTCCTGGTCGATTTCCGGGGTGGAAACAAGCCGCCCGGGGAGAGTGGAAGATGGACACCATGGGCTTGGTCCAGGGACCTGGACCTTCGCACAGAACCTGCCAGGGCCCCTCTGTTCGATGAGATCTCGGACAGCCGTGGCGTCCCAGTTGTCTGGCTCGTCCAGATCTCTACCCCCTGCTACGCTCGTTGATATAGTGGCCCTCTCGCCCAACCCAACGCCTCTTGGTCTCATGGTTTTGATCCAGACCCAGCAGAAATCACCACACGGCTTATACTTCGTATATCAACCCCAAGTGGCTTCTCCCTTCACGTTTACCATCATCTTGCTGCTCCCCTTGCTGCTTGTGTATCTTACGATCTATCTTCTCCCCAAGTCCTCATCTTCCACCACAACCACCATCCTCTCCGGCGAAATGGCTATCGGTAGTTTGCCTACAAATCCGGAAAGTTGGGCCCGTTGGCCTTACCCGCAACACGACAACGCCGACTTCAGCATGACGCCAACCAGCATGATTTCCTATGACTGCCGGACGACAACCACAGCCCATATCCCGCGCCCTGAACTTTCCCAGCACTTCGTCCCAACCACCTTCAGCTCGGCTCCGATGCCCTCTCCCCCTTCTCCTCACTACCACGCGCCCATATCCTACGACGGGTACAACCCTTACAGCGCGCCGCCCATGCTGGATGCGCCCTTCAAGCCCCAGGAGTCTATGGAGCGCCTACAGCCGCGTTGCATGGCGCCGGAGCCGGCCGCGAACGGAGGGGCTCAAGGGATGCCGTTCATCAAGAGAAGCTGCAGTCCGTCAGTCAAGAGTGAGGCACACTCTTCCAGCTCGCCATCTCCCAAGGCCGCCGCTTCCAACGCTCGGGTACAAGCCACCCCCGTTCACCAGTTCAACACCGCCATCGACAATGTCATGCGGGTGATCGAGGCCAAGCGTGAGATCCTCGGCCCTGCGGACGAGGTAGAGCTCGTACAGGCGGATGAGAAGAAGGAGGCGGCAAAGGACAACCAGGTATGCGATGCTAGAACCCTACGACTAAACGAACTCGCACTGACCGGTTCTTTGAAGACACAGCGTGCTCGTGGGAAGGCGAAGCGGAAGCGTTTCTGCTGTGAAATTCCCGGGTGCTCCAAAATGTTTGCCCAAAAGAACACCTTGACACCCACCGACGATCCCACACTGGCGAAAGCCCTTACGTGAGTCATTTTTCCTTCCAGCATCAGACCTTGAATACTAACAACACTTAGGTCTGCCCGTATTGCCAACGCCGCTTCACACAAAGCGTCAACCTCAAGGTATGCCATGGCTCAAGACAATCTCTGGAAGTGGATGAGGGCTGACACACAATGCAGACACATATTAATCGCCACACCGGAGAAAGACCCTACGAATGCCCCGAGTGTGACAAGTGTTTCCCTCAGCTCTCGAACGTCAAGGCGCACATGAGGACACACATCAGGAGAGAGTTGAGAGCTGTTTGGGTTTGCAGGTTTTGCAAACTGCCCCAAAGCCCTTTACCGCAAAAAGAGAACCTTAAAGTAAACTCTCCCCCCCCCCCCCTCCTTCTTACCTGCCCACACATCATCTGACCTGAGAAATAGGCCCATCAAAACACATACCATGTTGAGGAAATCGAGGCTTTCAACGCCAAGCTCGCTGCCATGAAGGACAAGAGTATGATATCCGAGGAGGACAAGGAAATGGCCAAGTACCTCGGCGACGTCCACAACCTCGCCAACAAGGGCATCAAAGGCCGCGGCAAGGGCCGCAAGGTCAAGCGGGTTATGATGCTACACCCACCACAACCACAGTCGTCTCCCGCCACGAGCCCGATCAACCCCGATGGCCACACTGGTCCCTACCCGATGTCACTCCTGCCTCACGCACTCTCGCATCTCCACATGACGCAGCAGCAACAACAACAACACCAGGCCGTGCACCACGGCCTTCCCTACTACGGGGTGAGCAACCCGGCCGCCTACAGCATGAGCAGGCCGCCCAACATGCTCTTCGGCTCGCTAAGCATCAACACGCGGGAACCGTACGGCCACGCTGGCTACGGCATGGACTCGGACCAGCTCAGCGATGCCAGCAGCGTCCACGGCTCCACGCCGGTCATGCACACCTACGAGGATGAACATGGCCGGGAGTTGACGTTTGGTGAGAGGCTTTACTAAGCATCAACCTGCGGATTCTGTTTACTTTGTTTCAAGGGGTTGGCTGTTCTGAACACTTTCTGTTTCGCCTACTGTTTACAAACGCTCAAATCTGTCTTTTGTTCATTGTTTTTTCCACGTCATATTATATATATTGGACCGAAAAGGGGAGGCCAGAATCTGTTCGCGAACCTTGGGGAGAGGTTGTTTTTCATTTTTACGAAACGGCATGGCGGTTGCGGCACTGCGTGTTTTTCTTGTCTTTATTGTTTTTTCCTTCTCCTATATCTGTTTTTATATTGGTGTGCAAGCTCTGCTCTGGTCTTCTTTTTGTCGACGACGGGGCTACAGGACGTCAAACCTGACCTGCAGTGGTGGTCATGGATAAAAAAAAACGGGGGCGGCGGCGGCTTGATTTTTGACTACTTGCATTTACCGAGGGACAGCGCTGTATCGGACTCGCATATTGAGGGTTATAATGGGCACTGGTTTAAACAATACAGAGGAGGACCTTTGGGCGGTACATATCAAGCGGTTACGTTTTGGGTGGGGGAAACACTGGTATAGGGGAACTTTAGGGGGTGCACACCGGGCTGTCTGTACGTTGAGTACGTTAGGTAGTAGTTTAGCTGTGACAACATGACATGAGTATTCTTACAGACCTTGCCAAGTTTCCCCCCTCCATCAAAAACTCCTCCGATGTACAGATCTCTGCGTTTCAAATGCTGCAAGATCCAGCAGGTCGTGACCGTCCATGACGATCGAATCCCCCCCTCCCTTCTTTCTTTTTGGGTCACCTCCGTGCCCCCCTCTCCAAACCTCGAGACGCGCATGATGAGGTAGGAGGGCATGGAGGCAGCTAGCCCGGACAGGGTATGCACATGGGACAATACCCCGCCCCCCCCTTCCTCTTCGACCACCTTCCCAGTTTCCTTCCTAGGTCCCCAACCACGAAGCAGCGGGCAAAAAAAGTGACAGCGTCCCGCCTCGTGGTTGGCTGAATGGCACACTCCCATGAAAGCCTCACTTTTCGACATTTGCATCCCTTTTCGGCCCCCTCCCCCCCCCCCCCCTTCTCGCGAGCTCGCCTTGCCCTGGCTGAGAGGGGTTTAACTTGGGGCCGTTAGCGCGTGTCGTCAATTTCCGCACTGGGTAAGCTGCTGATCGCTCTGGCTGTCTCGCCCGCCCTGGCCCTTGGCCCTGACGCGCCGTCTGTGCTGCATCCCGGCAGGCAAACTCAAATAAACCCCTGCACCATTGCAAAACCCTGGACAACAAGGTCGCAAACCCTGGGCGGGCGGGAACCCTTGCGGCGACCAGTGGAATTGAAAATGCCCTGATGCGTCCTAGCGTCAGAGGCCAGATGGGCAAAATGGGCAAATCAGGCAAAACTGGCAGAAGGGAGCTGGTGATTTTGCCCCCAGTGGCTTGGGGGGGACATGGACCTGCCTTGCTGGAGAGCCCTGCTGTGCCTTGCGTCTGATGGCCGTCGCGGGACCTGCTTGGTGGGATCTTTTCCGGGGAGGCACTTGTTGGAGGAGCTTTTGTTGCGTTCCACTTCCCCGGGCCCGCGCCGGGGTTCGTTAGGTTGCTCCTCTTCCCTCCGCTTGCTCGGGGAAGAGGGGGGAGTGGGTTCCGATCCTTGTGGTTGGTGTCTTTGGAGTCTGATGGAGGGTTGGGACGGCCCCCCCGGCCCCGGGACCGGAACCCGGACAGTGGACTTTGGAGGCCGGAATGTCATGTTTTGGTAACTCACCAGTTAACTCGACCCCGGTCGTGCGCATCTGGAACTGAAGGATGGGAGGGGTTGCGTTGGTTGACCCGACTCCGCGCACACCCTGTTTCTGTTTTTGTCTCTAGTGTGTGTGTGTGCAGTTTCCGCCAGGTCGGTGAATTAGCACACCCTTTCGTCCGACCTGCCCTGTCCGCTCATCGTCGGGATCGCCCTGTTTCGCGACATCACTTCAGGCTTTTCGCCGTTCCCCTGACGGTGGCGATAGTCACTTTGAGGTTTTTTGTTACATTCGAGGGTGTGCGGGTCCCGCCGCCTGTTTTCGGCTCGGCCATCCCCGTTTGTTTGATGGTCTTGGAAGGATGGGTGGACGGGCATGGGCTCAATGGGTAATGGGACTCAATGTTGGCGGGTTCCTTGCAGAAGGGTTCATTGTCTCGATCGAGTGTGTTCTTCCCGCTCGTATCGAGAACCAGTTGGAGGCTGGCCGCTACGGAAGCTAACCACCACGAGTACATATATCCATCTCCCCGTGGCGATCATTCCTCCTCCCCTATAACTATCTTACTGTGTAGTGGGTCCGAGCCAGCAGGCGTGTCAACCGCGTTTCGCGAGCTTAGCCGAGCTGTTTACCGTTGAGCCACCGGCCAGCTTGTTTGTTTTGTTTTTGAGACACCATGTTCTCAAGGGAAACATGGCGCTCGCGGTTGCACAACGTTCCGGCTTGCAGCTCGGGAGAATCAGGTGATCCCTTCTGGTTCACCGGGGAGAGACTGGTTTTGGACCCGGGGCCGGCATCACAGGCGTCATCTCGCACGGCGCACCGTGTGGGTGGCACAGTAACCAAGGCGGGTGCCGTACACGGGAACGGAGATGGGAGTGTGATGCTTGCTCGGAAGGAAGTGGGCCCGGTCGGGGAGGTTTAATTCAGGCACCGGCATATTCCATGGTTTCGCGGACCTTGCGTTTGACCCCCGGAGACCTTGGGATGGCGGGCTTGGTCAGCCGCCATGGAGGGTTGAGACAAACAGGATATTGTCGTGCGGCTGAATCTCATAGGCTTCTTCCCCTTCGAGCTCCCAGTCGGCGTCATTGATGAGCACTAGAATGCCGGGGCGGCTGAGCAAATCAGCATGCAGGTGGGTAAAAACGGAGATGGGGGCAAAAAGACACACATATGGTTGTCTAGGACAAACAGCTCGGCCCGCGGATCCTTCATGAAGTTCTTGCATAAATGTTGGATGAGGAACGCAATATTGGCCGGCTGGCCGCCGGTGCCGACAGCGGGGAGCGAGACAGAGTGACGGCGTTGGTTGTCAAAGAGCATCTCAAGACCGCCGCTGTGCAATCATGTCAGCCAGCGTGTAAAAGTCGGATTTTTGAGGTGTGATAGAATACCCCTGGAGGAGGGAAGGGGTGTGTTGCAGCGGGGTTTGTTTGAAATGACTGCAAAGAAAAAAAAAATGACTGACGAGAAGTCGACCGTAATAGGGATTTCTCCCGACTGGGTTTCGCTCGACATGTTGTAAAGGTGTCCGAAAAGTTTCGGGCAGATAGGCGAGTCAAGGGCGCGGGCTGTGTGCTGCTGATTATGGGATGTGAGATGTTATAAGTGAGCAAGAGTGTGAATGAGGGGGAAGTGATAAGGCAATGCAGTGTTGCATGTGCGGCGTTGGGGGCTGATGCCGCTGTCTCAGCCGCCCAAAATGGAGATCTGGAAAGAAGGGTCGGGTGGGTCCATCTGGCTGTGTAACGGTTTTGGTAATGTTTCGTAATTCAGACTGTCACACATACGTAGTACACGCACGAAGCTCCAAGAGGTGTAACTGCCCAAAACTCTTCCTCGTAAAACAACGGACCAATCACACAACAATCACCCCCTGCCTCCTGCCTGGTGTGAATGAAGAGTGAGGGCAAGAGCGAACATATTATGGCCGACAAAATGATAGAGAGTCGTTACTTGTCGGCAGGCGCAAACCGATACACAGCTGCTGCCGACTGGGCTGAAGATGGGCTCGTTGCATTTGGATCCGATTCCAACGTGTGTCTCTGGGACCCAACTGTAAGCTTGTTTTCGCTCTCCCCTCTCTCCATGTTGAGTCAACGTCTCACGGATGATAATTCCAGGATCCAAAAGGCATTTCAAATATTCTCAGCGGGCACACTGCTCACGTAAGAGCCGTCGCATTCTTGCCCGGAAGAAATGAAGAGAGCAAGACGGTGAACTTGGTGACGGGCGGAGACGACAAGCAGCTCCGGCTCTGGGCTATAGACTCGGAGACGGGCGCCGCTTCGTGCGTTCAGACCATTCAGGAGCACAGCGAACCCATCAACTGCATCGCCGCTCTGAAAAGTCCAGCTTCTGGGGATGTGGCAAAACAAATATTCGCCACGGGCGCTGCGGATGCCACAGTCAAGATCTGGGTTTTCGAAGCTGGCCAAATCACCCTCCTCCAGACGATCAAGACCACTAGAAAGTACATGCCTCTCACTCTCGCCTTGAGCGCACTTGAAGAAGGAAATGGACTCGTCTTAGCTGTTGCGGGGACTACCAACGCCGTTCAAATATTTACAGCCTCTGCGGCAGACGGCAATCCAGGGGTCGAATTCACCCTACAGGCCACCCTGCCAGGTCACGAGAACTGGATCCGCTCACTCGATTTCATCCGCGAGAAGCCTGAGAAGGGTAGCGACATCCTCCTTGCGTCGGCAAGCCAAGACAAGTACATCCGTCTCTGGCGTATTCACCAAGGCACGACGTTGTCGGCTCTCAGCGCAGCAGGCTTGGGCTTTCAGCCGACGCCCTCACACCCGGGAATAAAGCTCACAAAATAAATGCTGGGGCCACCGAATATTGTATAGTTTTCGAAGCCCTTCTCCTTGGCCACGAAGATTGGGTATACAGCGCCCGCTGGTTCCGTGCTGCCGATGGCAGGTTGCAGCTGCTGTCCGCCTCGGCCGACAACACCTTATCCCTTTGGGAATCAGATACCGAATCTGGCATTTGGCTCACCGTCGTTCGTCTTGGGGAGATTAGTCGAGAAAAAGGAGCAACAACGGCTACGGGCAGTATCGGCGGGTTCTGGACTGGCCTGTGGTCGCCCTCGGGTACAACCGTCATCACCCTCGGTCGTACGGGGAGCTGGCGGCGATGGGATTACGATGCGGCGGAAGATATGTGGAAGCAAAACTTTGCTATATCCGGTCACACCCGCGCCGTGACAGGCATTTCGTGGTCTCGCGACGGTCTATATCTCCTCTCGACCAGCTCCGACCAGACAACCCGCCTCCACGCGGAATGGGCGCTCGATGCACGCAACTCCTGGCATGAGATGTCACGCCCGCAAATACATGGCTATGATCTCAACTGCATCTCCGCCCTTGGTCCGGCCTCCTTTGTCTCGGGTGCCGACGAGAAGCTCATGCGCGTCTTCACCGAGCCCAAAGCCGTCGCCCGCATGCTCAGTCACCTCACAAACACAGCCGCTCCCACCCCCGAAACCGAAGAGGCGCTCCCTGACGTAGCCAACATGCCGGTCCTCGGCCTCTCTAACAAGGCCGTTACCACCCTCTCCCCAGAAGAAGGCCGGCCGCCAGCCGCCGACTCCTCTACCAACCAAGCGATAGACCCCACCACCGCCGACCCCGACACAGCCACCACCCACGCGCAGCCCTCCCCTCTCTCCACTCTTACCCACCCTCCCTTGGAGGAGTCCCTCTCTCGCCACACGCTCTGGCCTGAGATTGAGAAGCTGTACGGGCACGGCTACGAAATCTCGTGTCTGGCCGCCAACCATGACGGGACGCTGGTCGCGAGCGCCTGCCGCGCCAGTTCCCTGACCCACGCCGTAATTCGTTTGTTTGAAACCCGCGGCTGGACCGAACTGCGTCCGCCCCTGCAGGCACATACCCTCACCGTCGCCCGCGTGCGCTTCTCGCGGGACGATCGGTACATTCTGAGTGTCGGGCGCGATCGCGGGTGGGCTGTCTGGGAACGGACTCAGGCGAGTGAAGGCCAGAATGAGGGCGAGAGGGATGGGGGATATAAGTTGGCGCAGACAAATGCCAAAGGCCACACCAGGATGGTGTTGGATGCGGCTTGGGCGCCGGTTGGTGATGATGCCAACGGCACGAGGGTGTTTGCGACAGCGGGGAGAGATAAGTTGGTTAAGGTGTGGGTGAGGAAGGGGGGTGAGGGAGGGCAATTTGAGCTGGGCAAGGCGGTTACCGAGGAACATCCCGTTACAGCGTTGGATTTTGTGCCCGAGGTGACGGAAGCGGGCCTGCTTCTGCTGGCTGTCGGCACGGAGGGTGGTAAGGTGTCTGTGCTGACGCTCAAGGTCAATGATGGTGAGGTGGAGGTTGTGTCGACGTCGGTTGTGGGCCAGGCGTTGTCGTTGCCCAAGGCGGTGTTGCAGCTTGCGTGGCGACCAACGAGAGAGGGACGCAAAGGCGAAGAGCTGGCGATCGCGGGCGAGGACGGGTCGTTAAGGATATACTCGTTCCTTGCGCTGTAGAACAAGCCAATGGTGAGTGAATAAAAGACATGCTTCAATATGATCAAATGGTCCATGATGATGAATATATGTTAAATCCCGTGTCTCGTATTATTCTATTACGGCCCAAAACGGGCTCTATCCCAAGGATTCCTCAACGCCATGCCCCTTTCATACGCATTTGCCATGCCATTATCCTCCGTTGTGGAGTGCGCTTCCTCCCCGTTCTCTTGTGCAGACGACAACGACGCACCCATTATCGTGAGCCTCCCCGCATTACATAACAAGACATCCCATCCCACCCCATCCCAACGCCCTCCCACTCCCCATCCCTATTCACATTCCCCATCCCCATCTCCTCACCGCGCCTCCCAATCCCTCAAAACCCCAAACCCCCCAAGAAAACACTCAAAGCTCCTTCACCGACTCCGCCGTCACCGCCGCCGCCGCCGTCCCGATCGTCCCGACCACCGAGCTCAGCACCTGGCCCACCGCGCCCTTGGCCGCCGCCGACGTGTCGAAGGCGTCGCCGTGCATGTAGAACCACGCGCGGCTGATGATGAACTGCAGGTGCTGGGGAAGGTAGAGCACGGTCGCGATGAAGGTGAGGGAGAAGAGGAGGAAGAGGACCGAGTCTGGTTTTTGAGGGGGGGCGTGGTTAGTATATTAGTGTATATGGGGCGGTGGGTGTTGTTGGGGTGGGGGTGGAGGGGGTTTGTTGTTGGGAGGTGGTGGTGAAGAGGAGCGGGAGTTGGGGGTAAGAGGGAGGAGGGAGAGTGATGGGGGAGGAAGAGGAGAGGGGAAGAGGCAGGGACGGCGTACAGAAGATGAATTTTTCGATCGGCGTGTAGATGTACACGCTGTAAGTCACTTCCAGCTGGTAGATCTTAAGCTGCAGCCACTTGCTGAAAGACTCGAGTTGGGAAGCCATTTCGATTTAAGGGGGTTGTGCAAAAAGGGGGCTCGATGTGATGATGGCGTTCTCGGGGAGCGGTTCTTCGTCGCTTGGGGTCTTGCAAAGTTCTTGAGTGCCTGGGTAGCTGCGCGCTCGTGTATGTGGTTGAAGTGGCTGTTCGGAGGTTCGTTGCTTTCGAGATTGTCGCGGGTTCAATTTCGAGGTCGCGTTCAGGGCCAGTTCGCATCGAAATCCAGGAGCAAGGGTCGGCGAAGTGCAAATCGGACGAGACGAAGCTTTGCCTGCCGGGCGGAAAGCTCGGGAGCGTTCTGATTGGAGAAGCAGCTTGAGCCCCACCGGGCGTTATGCAAGCCCGTTTGGCTCTCGGACTGGAAGCGGCAACATCCGGCACCAAGCACCGAGCATTGACAACAACCACGGCTCAAGCGATGACATGACTTGAGATGCCCACGTCATGCTCCGGCCCTTTACCAGCCTGCGCCCCCTCTTCCGCCCCGCAGGCATTCTCTGCGGCCGGCATGGCGTCGCTTCAAGCCTGGAGCTGAGGAACAGCTTCACGACCTCAGTTGTCGCCAACCTCAAGCAGCTCCCCCCACGGCCCAAGCACCCCCCCGAGTCCGACATTGAAGAATCCTTCCTCAAAGGCAGCGGACCGGGCGGGCAAAAGATTGTACGCCTCACCCCCCTCACCCCCCCGTCAACAACGGACCAAACCGTCCCAACCAACCCATAACTAACCCCCCGCCCCTCCACAACAGAACAAAACCAACTCGGCCGTCCAACTCAAACACATCCCGACCGGGCTAGTGGTAAAATCGCAGGCCACGCGCTCACGCACACAGAACCGCAAGATCGCGCGCGACCTGCTCGCGCTGAAGCTCGACGAGCTGGCCAACGGCGCGCAGTCGCGCGCGGCGATCGTGGGCGACACCAAGCGGAAGCGGGCGGCGAGCAAGGCCAAGAAGAGCCGGCGCAAGTATCGGAAGCTGGCTGGTGCTGAGGGCGAGGCGCAAGGGGAGGAAGGGGAGGAGGGGGAGGAGGGCGAGCTGGAGGTGGAGCTTGAGGGTGATGTTGGGGAGGGGCAGGAACAACTACAAGCTGAAAGTTCTGTAGGGGTTGAAGAGGGGATAAAGCAACGAGAAAATGGCGAGGGGGAAAAGAGAGAGGAAGGGAGGTAGTAAAGGTGGGCACGGAAACAAATCAGACACAAAGGGCACAAGAGTTGGAGGTGATGATACCCGCTAGGAGGGCAGAGGAAGTTACAGGTACAAACAAGAATAAACGGCGGCGCAAGCTTCATAAACTAAACCACCAACACTTCCACTCCACAACCACAATGACGAATAAACGCAAGATTCTTAAGACGACCAACTACGAACGAGACGTAATCACCACAGGCGCAGTAACAGAATGTATCATCAAGCTTGGCCTACTTGTCCGCGCCGCCCCCTGCACGCGCCAGCTCGCCCAGGAAACAAAGGCCCCCGTGCGTTCACATGTGCCAAACGGAGAATGCTAGATGCCCACCAATACCTGACCAGGGTCAAAACTTTTGTATGATATGAGACTCGCCCAGGACACACGCGCGCGGCGCCGAGGTCTTCCGTGGCGCGGCCGGCCTTGTCTCGCGACAATCCGGGAAGCTGCCCAAGTTCTGCGCTGCTCAAACGGTAAGCAAACGTTCCCGGTCGGCCGGCGGCATAAAATCTTACCTTAGAAGCACTTGCGGTGCACGATCGAGGGGCCGCTCTCGTCGTACTCCTGCTTCGAGATCCACATCTGCTGGAAGGTCGAGAGGGAGGCGAGAATGGAACCACCGATCCAGACGGAGTACTTGCGCTCGGGGGGAGCAATGATCTTGACCTTCATGGACGAGGGAGCAAGAGCAGTGATCTCCTTCTGCATACGGTCCGAGAGACCAGGGTACATGGTGGTACCACCCGACTAGGCGTTCGTTAGCTGTGTTTTCGCGCTTCATGGGCTTTGCCGCATTCAACTCACCATGACGATGTTGCCGTACAGGTCCTTCCTGACATCGACGTCGCACTTCATGATCGAGTTGAAGGTGGTGACGTGGATACCGCCGCTCTCGAGGCCGAGGACGGAGGGCCCTGGAACAGGGTCTCGGGAGCACGGAAGCGCTCGTTGCCGATGGTGATGACCTGGCCGTCGGGGAGCTCGTACGACTTCTCCAGGCTGGAGCTCTGGGCAGCGGTCTGGATCTCCTGCTCGAAGTCGAGGGCGACGTAGCAGAGCTTCTCCTTGATGTCACGGACGATTTCACGCTCGGCCGTGGTCGAGAAGGTGTAGCCGCGCTCAGCCAGGATCTTCATGAGGTAGTCCGTCAGGTCACGGCCGGCCATGTCGACACGGGCAATGGCGTGCGGGAGCGAGAAACCCTCGTAGATGGGGACGACGTGAGTGACACCGTCACCGGAGTCGAGCACGATACCGGTGGTACGACCGGAGGCGTACAGGGACAGGACGGCCTGGATGGAGACGTAGAAGGCAGGGGCGTTGAAGGTCTCGAAGACGATCTGCGTCATCTTCTCGCGGTTGCTCTTGGGGTTGATGGGAGCCTCGGTTAGGAGGACGGGGTGCTCCTCGGGGGCAACACGGAGCTCGTTGTAGAAGGTGTGATGCCAAATCTTCTCCATGTCATCCCAGTTGGTGACGACACCGTGCTCGATGGGGTAGCGCAGCGTCAAGATACCACGCTTGGATTGCGCCTCATCACCGACGTACGAGTCCTTCTGCCCCATACCGATCATAATACTAGCGGCGCGTTAGCCAGCGACCCCATATCGCAGAGATACCGGAACTGAAAGCCTACCCATGGTGACGGGGACGACCGACAATCGACGCTAAACGGCGCTGTTAGCTTGTCTGTTTGTGCCAACGAGCGTCCGGAGCTCGGCTTATCGCCGACCGGGCCGGGGCCGGGGCTGGGAGACTTACGGAAAACAGCGCGGGGTGCATCATCACCGGCGAAACCGGCCTTGCACATACCGGAGCTACTCGCATGTCAGCTCCGTCCATCCGAATACATTCTTGTGTGTGAAGCTATCGTCGACTGGGCGATAGAGCTCGCTGGGCGAGACGAGTGGGCCGCCGCTGACGACGCTCCGCCCACGATCGCCGAGTCGGTGAGCTAAAGGGGGGATGGGGGTCGCCTTACCCATTGTCGATGACGAGGGCAGCAACTTCTTCTACAGCACGGAATCCCAGTCAGTAGCTGCTCAACATGATGCAATGCGCGCGACAACCGATGGGGCCCGACCAAAAGAGGTCAGGTTTCGGGGATCGGGAGCTGTCGACGTACCCTCCATTTTGACGGCTGGAAAGGTGCAAAAAGCGGAAAAGGGGAAAATTAATTATTCAGCTCGTACGATCTCCGGATCGGCTGCGGAAGTCGTGATGGTATCTGTTGCGAAGCACGCAGCAGAGGTAATAAGAAGAGATGGCTAGAGTCGCGGCGCGAGGTTGGAAAGGGGAGGTGAATTTAAGGTCAGTGCTTGGGTTGGCGTGGGTTGAGAGAGGGGGATATGTGCGCGGGTGGAGGAAGGAAAGCCTTGGGTCCCTGCGCCCCATGTCCCTCTGAAAGCTGGACGGTTTGTGGGGCAGCAAGAACGCTGGTGGGCGGTGTGGGAGCTGGTGGGGTTTGCTAGGGGGCGGATGGAGCTGCCTGATTGGCAGAGATTACAGATTCGCCTGCCGCTTTTACTCTTTTACGCTGACGGCCTGATGAAAGCGAGGTTGGTTGGTTTGCGGGTTGGCCACAAGCTTTCGTAACTCGCTGTGGCTGGGATTCAACAAAGAATTCCACGTCAAAACATACCCGCCTGAGCACGGGAGACCGCGCAGGCAGCGGGAGACGGCAAGCCCTTGCTGTCTAAATTATTCGCCAAGGCATCACCGCATCGCATCTCTACCCAGTTCATCAACAGCCGGACAGTACGTGGCACGACAGTTACGGTGCAGTAACGCTGAACATCAGACTTCTTGGCAAGGCGTTGCCACACAGCAGGGGGGCACGGCGAGGTCCTGGCACGGTGCGCGGTCTAAAAGTCAGACATGACAGAGCTGACGTTGCCCAGGACTTTCAGCGGTTTCAACGACCATCACGATGGCAGAATAATCAATGTTGTGACAAAGAGATACGCATCACCACCTGGATGCCAAGCAGGCACCGTTTACCATTCCCGAGAGGAATCTTTGACGCGGGTATCTATCTCGGTAGCCTGGCGAGGTGTACGTATGCTGCTTGGCAGGTGTTGAACTCGAAACAACATTTCAGACGATAGCCTTGGATCTTATACCAGCCTGAAGCCGGATGCCGTGCACAACAACACCGGAGACAATGCGGCTCCACGGGCAGATCTCGTCCGAAGCAGCGTCCTCAGCGATGGCGGAAAAGGGGCTGACGTACTGGTCCATGCAGTGGTATCAGGGGCCGTTCTCCACCCCCAAAAGCAGTTTGGTCGATCCGAAATCTCGCCATTTCCGATCTATTAAAGGTCCGACATTGCCCAAGAAATGATGAACACCCCCCTAGCTTTCTATGTCTGTAGGTGTGTATGCACATAGTCCGGAAAAATAGCGGTCACAATTCTCCATGGTCCTAATGCTGAGAACCGACAAATTACCCCACGACTTTGGGATTATCAGAAGCTCTGACCATGGGAATTTTAGACAAGAGCGGCGACGAGGGGCAAGTGGGGCAATATTTTTTTCCTTGGCTTTGGAGGGGTAAAGCACAGACCGTGAAGGCGTCAAGAACCAGCAAGGTCCCGTTGGTCTGAGAGTAACATCAAGCCCTTGTAAAATACCTCAAACTTCTTGATCTTGTTGAGTTTGGTAACGAGAGTAGATATGGAATGTCGCCAGCCCTTCTCCGCCTCATTTTCTCTCTTCCTCCCGCTAGAGAACGCGGTGAGGGAAAGATATTTAAGATTCACGTGACAGGCGGACTAGCCTGTTTCGGATGGAAATTTCCTGAAGGTTCGCGAACAGGGCAGAATCACGAACTGTTAGCCGTGTCGGGCAAGACTAAGCAAGCAAATTCCAGTCTGGGCTTGACTTTCTAGAACAAAACCACTGGTGAGGATTGGAAAATATCAATCTACTTGCTCTATTCCTCTACGCACGCGTCTAAAGAGATACATCAGTGACATCTTCGGCCTCACAAACCGCCACTGCTCCAACTCCAATCCTCAACCCCTCCAAAATCCAAAATGGAAAGAAACCTCAACAGCTTGCTCAAATGGAGCATCGAGAACTCAGTTCCATCGTCGGCCCCAGCCGCTAACGGCACCAACGGCACCAACGGCACAACAGCCGTAACAACCCACTCAAGCGACAGCAACAACACCTCGACAACCCCCGCCGACGCCCCCAGCCAGACCAACGGCACCAGCGCAGCCGCAGCCAACAGCAAGCTTAACCCCGAGATCCTATCCGCGCTATTCGGCGGGCCGTCCGAGGCTGAGCTGATGAAGGCGGCGATGGAGGTGCTGACGGACAAGAGCGCAACGCTCGACAACCAGCTGATCGCGTTCGACAACTTCGAGCAGCTGATCGAGTCGCTGGACAACGCCAACAACCTAGAGCCGCTGAAGCTGTGGGCGCCGCTGCTGGGGCTGCTGGCGCACGACGAGGCCGAGATGCGCCGCATGGCCGCGTGGTGCGTCGGCACCGCCGTCCAGAACAATGCCCGCACCCAGGAGCGCCTGCTTGCGGAGGGTGGGCTGCCCATCTTGGTGGGGCTGGCTACGAAGGAGGGTGAGGATGTGGCTGTCCGCCGTAAGGCGATTTATGCGCTGAGCTCGGCTGTGCGGAATTGCCAGCCGGCGATGGATGCTGCGACGGCGGAGTTGAGTGCGCATGGGAAGGGGGATAAGGTGGATGCGGGGGATATGGACGCGGTGGATGGGGTGATTGAGTGGTTGAGGGGAGAAGGTGAACGGTGCGTCAACGGCGTGAAAACATTCTATGATGTCGGGATCGGATATCAGCGTCGTCGCGAAGAGCGGGGATAGATAGGGTGGCATTTTCTGCATGGTCGGCGTTCGGGATGGGTTCTAACTTTGAAGGCATGATCTGGGCGAGTCTCATGGCGAATTAGAAAAAAAGGGATATAGAGGAACATGAAAGAAGAAACGGCCGTCTTTATTCGTTGCAACGATGCGTTCTTCCTGTGATGTTACAAGTATACACAAGTGGTATTGTACAAGCAAACCTACGCCGCTCTAGTTCCGGACCTCGCCATAAAATGGCACGCCAAACGATTGCAGCAGTAGCCGGGCTTGCCTGTCCGAGGTTGCTGTCGTCTTGATGAATACCCGGCAGCCAGGAAGCATCTTGGCCGGATACATCTACCAAGCTGTTAGCTCATGGCAATGCCATCCAGCAAACCCGCTTTTCACTCACCCAGTAGTTGGCCTCCACCTCCGGGAACAGCTTGACCTCGTCCGGCGACATACCGAACGACAAGTTGCCTGAGCTATCACCCGTCGTCGCTATTATCCCATCCGTTAGCAAAACACCAACATCTCCAAACCCCCCAAGCAGCAACAAAACTCACCCCGAATCCCCCTCCAATCCTTGATCCTCGGGAACACCAAATGTACACACCGATCCAAAAACTCATAGGCCGCATTCCCATAAACCGTCGACTTGACACCGGCCCGGTCCCCAATCTTAATCCCCCACTGCACCACATTGCTCTTAGTCTTCGTAATCTCGGGCGTCGTCCCCGTCAGCGAGAGCAGCACACTGCGCGCCACCAGTAGATGGTCGGGCTCCTTGATGGCGTCGGGCACGTAGATGGCGATGGTGACCTCCTTGATCTCGGGGATGTTGTTGAAGGTGACGTCGCGCTCGAGGAGCGGCAGGACGGGGTTGCCGCGGGGCCCGCGCAGCGCGCGGTTCTTGTGGTAGGGGGACGACCCGTCCCACCCACGCAGCCGCTCCGGCGTCTCTTTCTTGGGCGTGCCCGGCGGCACGTGCGTGTAGGCGAGCGTCATGATGTCCGATGCAATCGTCGAGTGGTACGTCTGTTTGAGCCGCGGCAGGTTAAAGGGGCCCGGGACGAAGTCTCGCGCGATTGGGTCGGAGGAAGGTGGTGACTGGACCGGGTGGAGGGGGCCGCGGTTGTACTTTGGGGGGTGGTATTGGTATCTAAGAGAGGGTGTCTGGTTTTAATGGTGTTCGAGACGGGTTGGGCTGGGGGTGAGGAAGGGGTATGGCTTACCTCCCGCTAGGCAGCGCAACCTTCCTGTCGGCAGCACGCTTCCATGGCCTGAATTCCTTCTTCTCTTCATGGCTCAGTTGCGGCGCCGTGAGCGTCGAGTCTTCGAGGTCCTTTAAGCCCGCTTCGGACGAGGCGCATCGTATCGACCCGGCCGTGCAAGTCTGGCGTGATAATTGGGAAAGGTGAAGGCTACGAGCCGGCCTCGACAACCCACGGAGGCTCGCCATTGTGATATGCACGGCAGGATTGGAGTGACCGATACACGGAGCTTCAGCCAAAACCACGAGACGGTTCGAGGTTCACCAGGGAAATTTTCTGGGTCAAAGCTGCGCGGGCAGCCGGGGAAGGGTTAGGGTTATCATACGGACTTGCCGCTTTTATCACTACCACCACTCCATTAATTCGCAGGAGAAGCCATAAACACCAATTCAATCCTCTACTTTTAAACACCACCGGCCAGAATAAAAAGAGAAAAAAAAATCAAAATCTCTATCGCCAACTTATCCCCCGTCCAACATGCCTCCCATCAGTCCTCATCGCCCGCCCTATTGGTATTTCCCCTATTCTTCCCCCTCGGCTTGCCTCCACCCTTAAAGTGCTTCTTCCCCGACGCGAGCTGCACATCCTTAGGGTCGATGCCCTTCTCTAACGCAATCATGGCCTTCAATTTCCGGCCGCTCAGCTGCTTGCCCTCCATTTCCGCCTTGCCTTGCTCCGAGTACTTGTAGTTGAAAGGCCTCGACACGTGGCCGGCGCTACCCTGGCCGGGCTTGAAGAAGGCCTTGTCCAGCCTCTCTGACTTGGCTCCGCGCGGGAGCGGGAGCATGTCGGACAGCATGGAGGCGGTATCATCACCATCAATGGACATTTCTTCCAGCGCCGCGGCAGCAGCCGCTTGGCGCTTGGCCGGGAGGTGCGCGACGTCGTACAACTCGCGGTTGAACTCTTGGGCATCCTCAATATCCGGGGGCGGGGTGACATAGAGAAGCTTGCCGTTGACATAGTCCTTGAGGATGTACCTCGCGGCACGCGACCTGTCTGGTTGTCCGAGACCCTGCGTCATGAAACCCCTGTGACGAGCGTATGCGCTGAGCAGCTCGTCGCCAGTCGGGATTCCTGTGCCACCTTCTTCCAAAGGTCGTGTGCGTATTTTGGATACCGTAGATGGCCTCAATGAACGCCCGTGGAATCCTGGTGGCGACAAGCGTACCGGGCCCGCTGTACTCGCGCAGCTGGTCGATGGGAAGAACACCATTGACAACAAGCTCGGCCTTGGTGCTGGCAAAATTGGGGAATACGAGACCTGGGCAATCGCACAGAATGATCTTGTCGCTGTAATGGATGGTTTGGAAGTGCTTTGTCTTGCCGGGAGTCGCCGAGACCGACACCTTGTGGGCTCCGAGAAGAGCATTAATCGTGGACGATTTTCCGACGTTGGGGTAGCCGACAAGTCCGACTTGGAGTTTCTTATCCGGTCCTGGTACAAGTTAGCGTTGAAGGCACATCGGAAATCGGATAATTACTCACCTGCGTCTTTCGACGCGTAGCTAAGGAGCATGCCCTCCAGCTCGGCAACGGTCAAAATCCGGGTGTCCGCTTCGCCATCCTCCTCTTGTTCAGCGCCCTCTGTACCAGGCTCACCCTCACTCTCCTCTTTTGATTCGTTTTGCCCTGAAGATGCGCCACTCCCGCTTGGGCCGGCTTCCTCTTCCTCCTCCTCCTCCTCACTCTCCGGCCCCTGGGCTTCGAGCAGTTCCTTAGCCAGTTGGGCCGAAAAGAACCGATAGGCAATCCCAGCGCCTTTCAAGTAGTTGGCCCACGCTTTTCTCTGGGCGTAGGTCATCATGTCGGCCTTGTTGATGAGCAACAAATTCTTCTTCTTCGGATCAACGTCCTTGACGTACGCTTCAAGATCTTCGGACCGGAACATGAGAGGGTTTCTGGCATCCACGATTTGAATCACCAGATCGGACCGCTCGATGACTCTCCACAGCTGCCGCCAGACCTCGAGATTGCGCTCAAACGGTGTCATCAAAAGATCTTGTGTCTCCTGGAGCTCCGCTAGACCCTTCCGCCACTGCAAAAAGCTCTCCCGCTCTAAACGACCGAGCTCCTCGGGGGTTGTCGACGCATCCCATTGCGGCCTCCTCGGCACGGTAAGACGGGCCTTGTGTTCCCTCTGCTTCCCGAGTACTACCCTTTCCTCAGCTGCAGAAAGAAGGTAGGGGTTGCGCTGGTCGGTATGAATGATCTTGACGTTGTTCGTCTTCTCGGCGGTAAAGTCGGTTCCGGCAAGCTCGGCGGTAGCCAAGAACTCGTCCAAAGCGCCCTGCTCGGTGACGGAGCGCATCTTGACCCAGCCGGCCTCAGCTCTGTCGTTTGTGATGTATTCCTGGCCCGTCGCATGGTCGATGCGTGTGACTGCGCCAACTCGTTTTCTGTCGCCGCCTTTACCCCCGCCAAACCGATCTTTCATCAGTTGGTTGCCGAGGCCGACCGACTTCTTGGACTTTGCAAGCACCATAATGGGCGATCAGCCGTCCGGCTACGGGTTGCTACAGGTGTTATTCGGTAAAGACAGCACTGTTACGGTGCTGACTTGGTTGTGCAGTTGAAAATGAAAGTCCCCGTCTTCAGGGCGGGGTGTTTGATGTCGGGGATTGCTGATAAATACCGATAGAGGGGCAAATTTGCCAATGGTATTTGGCTGGGCGGTGCAGGGGAGTCATAGCCTGATCTAGGTACCTACTTATTTCGCCACAATATGACCAAATATGTCACATGTTGAAGGCTTCATAGAGTGGTTTGAACGGTTTGTTGGCATTCCCAAGATGATTGAGAAGTAGGTTTCCATATTCCCACCATTGTCGAATTGTATGTACATTGTGTAAGAGTAGAGTGTCATTACTTCGTACTGTCATGTATTTTTTCGGCTTGTGACGGCCCTATCGATAAGATAAGCAGTTTTACCCCACCAAAATATTCATGTGCGTCTGATTTGCACGGTGAGGGCCTCCGTCAATTCTGCTTGGACATTCATCATGTGTCATTGCAAATCCAGACAGAACTTCCATACACACACACACGACCTTACTTCGACTTACCACTCCGAACCACATTTACTTGTGCTAAACCATTATATCTACCCATACCATCAACACCATTTTGTTGTTTGAACTGTAACCAAAATGCCGAAAGGAAAGTGGATGTACGCACTCCCCGCAATCCCCTTCCATTGCCACTCAATCAACCGACGCATCTAACCCCTCTCTCCGCCACAGCAACAAAAAGACAGCGACGCACTTCACGCTCGTGCATCGCCCGCAAAATGACCCCCTCATCCACGACGAGTCGGCGCCGGCCATGGTGCTCAACCCGACGCAGCGGCCCAACAAGTCGGCGCGGGGCCAGGGGCTGAGCGAGCTGGCATCCGACCTCGGGTCGGACGCGATGAGCATCCGCGACAACGAGGGCGAGGCCGCCAACTACGGCGTCTACTTCGACGACACCGAGTACGACTACATGCAGCACTTGCGCGACCTGGGCCAGGGCACGGGCGAGGCCGTCTTCGTCGAGGCCGACCCCGTCGGTGGCAACAAGGGCAAAGGAAAGGGAAAGGCCAAGCCGCAACAGTCGCTCGACGACGCCCTGCGCCAGTTGGATCTGAAGAACCAGAGCGAGGATTTGTTGGACGATGAGTTGCTGCCGAGCAAGAACCTGCAGCGGCTGACGTACCAGGCGCAGCAGGACGTGCCGGATGCGATTGCGGGGTTCCAGCCGGACATGGACCCGCGGTTGCGGGAGGTGCTGGAGGCGCTCGAGGACGAGGCGTACGTGGATGAGGAGGCTGGCGAGGATATCTTCCAGGAGCTGGCCGAGGATGGGCGGGAGCTGAGCAAGTACGAGTTTGAGGAGGCGTACGACGATTTCGAGGATGACGACGAGGGGTGGGAGTCGGACCGCACGGTGAAGGCGGGAGAGCAGATTAAGGAAGATGGTGTACCACCGCTTACCGACACGAGCAAGGCGCAGGTCGGTAGCGAGGGCGGGTCGGACGACTGGATGACCGAATTCAACAAGTTCAAGAGCGACCAGAAGACCGAGAAGAAGCCCCGGGCGGCGGCCGCACCATCCGAGCTGCAATCCTCAATATGGACTACAACGACCAACGGTGGGCGGAAGAAGACAAGAAAGGGTGCCATGACAAACCCGTCCGCCTACTCGATGACGTCGTCTTCATTAGTAAGGACGGAGCAGCTGGGCATCCTCGATGCGCGGTTCGAGAAGATCGAGGAGCAGTACAACGCCGACATGGAGGACACAGCCTCCGTATCAGCAGTATCGACCATGTCGACAGTGCAGGGGAATACGCGGCAAGACTTTGACGGGATGTTGGACGAGTTCCTCGGTGACTACTCCATGTTCGGCAAGAAGCGGGTGAAGAAGGGCAAGTGGAAGAACGGGATCCAGGATTTCGACGATATCAGGCGAGAGCTAGGCCCGCCTATCATCCCGGAGAAATACAAGTCGTAGTCAACCCTAGGGCACCAACAAAATATAAAAAAGATTTTAAATAGATCGTTCGTCATCATATATATCTCCATACAAATGCTATAATCTTGCAACGGCTACCACCTCCCACCTCCCACCTCACAACCAAACCATCACACCTTAACAGCCCATATACCACCCCAAACTACTCACGCCCTCCCCCAGCGCCTGTACCTCCCCACTCGGCCCCAACTCCCCCAACAACCTTCCCACCACCCTCACATCTGTCACCTCCCAGAACCGCCTCACCCCCTCCACAAACCGCTCCGCCGCAAGATCCACATTCCCCTCCTCCTCGGCCGCGAAACAAATCCGATGATACTGCCACCCCTTCTCCACACGCACCTCATCATTGGCACTGAACATGGACCCCGTGGCGACCAGCACGCGGAAGGGCTTGGTCGTCAGCCAGATCATGAGGGCGGCGGCCAGGGCAGGGCCGTCCAGCACGGGCAGGTGCGGGCCGGGCCCGCGCGCCTGCCACAGCGGGTGGGTCTCGAGGTGCACGCGCAGCCAAATGAACATGCCGCCGCGCGGCCAGCGGAAGGAGTAGAGCGTGGTTTTGGATACGGCGAGCGGCGCCCATTCGTCTGAGTCGGAGTCCAAGGAGGAGGTGGGGGCGGGGGCGGTGGTGATGAGGGTGGCGCCGGCGTCGAGGGTGCGGCACATGCGCGCGACGCGGCGCTCGTAGGAGCCGCGCAGGCCTTCGAGCCAGCGTACCCAGCCTGAGGTGTCCCAGCCGGTGAAGGCGGCGCGGTCGCGTGGGGAGCGCAGGAGGGAGAAGGCGGCGCTAGACGCGCTGCCGCTACCGTTGCTGCCGAGGACGAGCTCGGATATCAGGCCCTGTACGAAGCCTGATGGCTGCTGCGTCGTCGACTCGGCGATGCGCTCAAACCGCTCGATGAGTGCTGGTTGTGCCGTGATCCAGCCCAGGCGGCAGCCCGGCGCGACGGTTTTGGAGAAGGTGTCCAGGCGCACTACGCGACCGTCGGTGTCGAGTGAGAGGAAGGACGGCGTGAGCGAGTCGAGGAAAGGGTAGCCTGAGGAGCGGCGGGGTTTGGGGTGCGAAGAGGCGGGCGGCGGTGGCAGACCGCGGGATTTGGCTTCTTCGATGGCGGCGGAAGGGAATTGGAGGTACCAGTACGGCTCATCCTCGACTATGACCACGTCATATCTGCTACAGACGTCGTAGATTTCCTTCTTGCGCTCGACAGAGAGGACGATGCCTGTGGGGTTGTGACCGAGGCTGAGAGAGGTCAGCAGAAGATAGGAGGGGCGACGGGTTCCCGGGTTGTTACTTACGTGACAGTGTACATGAGGTGCGGCCTCTTCCCCTTGGAAGGGTCCCAGTTTGCCAGAACATCTTCCAGGCCGCCTAGTCCCTTTACTACCATGCCGGATTCATTCGCCTTTACGGTTACGACCTGCACGCCACGCGGCTGGGCCTGGCCGAGGATGTTGGTGTACACAAATGGCTCGCAAAGAAGACCCGGGCGCTCGGTGATATCATTGACACCCTCAGTCCACTGGTCAACAAACAGGTCCAGCGTCTTGGAGAAGCCGTCGGTCGAGCCGCAGGTCAGAATCACCTCGGGCCCGCCCTTATAGGGAGTGTCTTGTTGCAGATTCTCGCGGGTGAATTGGCGCACCCATGACAATAGCGGCGGATAACCGGCAGCGAGGCCGTATTGTAGCACCGTGGTAAGGTCAATCTTCTTCACCGGGTCGCTCTCATCCACTACCTTGGGTACTACGATATGGGTGGCTGCTGCCGGATCCGGCGATGATGTTGGTGGCACTGCAGTCTCGCCAGGGTGGTTTGGCGATGGCGTCCATCTTTCTGGCTTTGCTGCTTGTGCTTCTAGAGTATCAAAGGGAAAAAAGTCGGGATGGGGGAGGCCTAGTAGGGGAGATTGAATGAGCCTTGGGTGCCATTGGGGACCAGATAAGCATTGGGGTTGGAATAATACGAACCGCCAGCAACGTTCAAGATGCCTGGGATCCGAAAGAACTTGTATGCCTCCTTGATCTTGGAGGGCATCCGTCGCTTGGTGACGACGGAGTAGTGGTGGCTGAGGTCCAATGGCACCGGCTTCTCACGGCGGCCGAGACGGACGCGGCGATGTGAGGAGCAGAGAGCGTCCATATTGTATGAATCTCCTCCGAATGCTGTATGTACTAGTGCCGATGTTGCAATTGGAATTGAGCCTTGTTATCCTGTGACGCAGTGGAAAAACAAGCCAATTTTCGAGAATCCAAGGTACTGCGTCCTCTGTTCGATCTCATGCCGATAAGAAGAGCAACACCAAACATGGGATGGATGAGATTGGGGGCCGCTCATCCCGACTGCCGTCGGAGCGGGAACCCTGAGCCCGAGACGGAGACATGCTTATAAATCGCCGGGCCCGGTGCATCCAAGAAACCGTTTATCGCTACCAGCATGGTGGGCGGGAGGAAACCACTGATTCCAGAATTAGTGAATCCGCTAGCCCCACTTGAGTAGGGAAGTCTCGATGCGGAAGTTATCCCTCGGCAGGAGCCAGTGTGCCAATATTTCAGGGCTTGGCCTTGTTATCTCTGTGCCACACAAAGCTATTCGTACATACAAGTATGTATGGCCGACCCGGATTCCGAATTAGAACCACGGACCTCCCTTGTAACATATTACCGGCCGGGTCTCGTGTCGAGTCGGTGGTCAGACCGATGCGCGCGCCGGATGTAGTGCCGATCACCACCCAACGGTCAGTCGAGCCGAGCTGAGACATGCATGCGGCTCCGGCCTCGTGCGACTTGATTGCGCTAAGCAGTTTGACCTCGCCCCATCCCGCTCGGCCAACCATCTGCTGTGCAGTGAAGGTAGTTATTATTTGTTTTACGGGAAATGGCATCAGATTTAGCTCCCATCTTGGTCTGGCGAATATCCAAAACCTAGCTCTTCGAGAGATCTGGCTTTCCTCCCTTGCACTTCAAACTGCAACTTGGCCTTGGCATAAATCTGCCTTTGCCAGAGCAACTCCGGACTCCAATGCGGCGGTTCTTTTCCCGGCGTCCCTGAGCGTTTGATCCAGTCATAAGTCTGATTGATATATTCGCCATCAGCGCCCTCCGGCCAAACGTGAAATTTGGGCCCCTGCCTCTCCGCCTCCTCAGCTTCCCATTGCCTCATCTCCTTCACCGACGGCAGCGGCAAGAGATTCGCCCATGTTCTCGAGAACACCGCCGCCTGGCTTTCAGAGAGCGCAAACGGAATTACCTTGACCGGCAGTCTGGTGAATACCAGTGTTGGGTGATCAATATGGAATAAGTGTTGGTACGTGTTGTGCACTCGGGTCCCTTGTGTTACCACCGGTGGTTCGAGAGAGCGGAGGAACGGGAAGGCAAAGAGGTACCCAGTGGCGTAGATGATGGCGTCGATATCTTTTTCGATTCTCCCGTCCTGGAATCGGACACCTCGTCCTTCCGGCAAGAACTCCTCGATAACAGGAACCTCTTCGGCACCGCAATAATCCAGATTGGCTTGCGATGTGGGCGATCGCACCGAGAGCAGCAGCGGTTTCTTACAGACACGGTTGATCTGCGCTGCGATATCGAGCCCTGATGCGGCATTCCCAACAACGACCACCTTTTTACCAGTAAATTGTTCTGCAGTCCTGTAGTGTTTGGAGTGAGAGATAACACCGGGGTGTGCCTTGTGGAATTTTCCTGCTCCCTTGGTGTCGGGGATGTAAACCGCAGTGTAATGGCCCGATACGACGACGACGGCATCGTATGTTGCGCTCGTCGTCTTGCCCGTGAGGAGGCACGCCGTGTCCACATCCCACTGGTCTTTCCCGTCAACCACCCTCAAGTGAACGTCCTTCACTTGTGTCGAGAACTGTATGAGGTGCCGGATTTCTTTGGCGTATTCAACTACATACTCCTGAATATCTTGCCGAGAAGGGAAAATGAGCGTGTCCTCTTTCATCGGAAGATCCGAGTATTTCATCAAATCCCGAGGAATGTTGGTGTGCAGGACTTCGTACATAGGCGAGGGGAAGACGGGCGCCTCTTCTCCTTCGCGCGGCAGAGGCGGGTCCGGAGGACAATAGGGGCTCGTTTGAGGGACATGCACCGTCCCCGAAGGCTTAGGACTGTAATTCCATACCCCGCCGACTTCGGCCTGCTGCTCAAAAATGTCGATTTTATGAAAGGTCTTTTGAGCGAGCAAGTATTTGGCCGCTGCAAGCCCACAAGGGCCGGCGCCGATGATGGCAACCTTCTTGACATCAAAGCGTTCGGGCTGTTGGGAGCCCATGACAGCGCGAAGGAAGGAAGGTTTTATCTGAGATTTTAAGCGATTGACGGAAAGACCTGAGAAACGGGTCATTTACACACCTGGTAAGGCGGTTTTCATGTGATGTATCATGAAGTCCAATGGTTGGTGTTGAGGGGTAAATAGCAGGGGTAATATAGTTACCGTTTCGTAAATTACCTACTTTTTACTTCTTGGCCCAGGCTCGGTCAGCCCACCGCCTTCTGTTTTGAGCCTGAGTTTGACCAGGGTAGGTGGGCGGCATGTTGGAGCTCCCTTTCATCGCGTCTCTGCCATCATCATTGGATCATTGGAGCTTGCCGTGCTTTCTGCGAGCGAAGCTCCGGAACACACCAACCTCAACAACGCACACAAGTAGTTGTCGACATCCGACCGTTCTCTTTGTGGCGTCACCTCCGAATTGACCCCCACTCTTCTCCCTTGCGTCGCCACGCTTAATCAACCCACTGCGACCGGCAAATGACGATTCTACAAAGAGCTTTGGCGACACCAAATTGATGCCGTAGCTGCTGTCCTCTCTCGGATTACCTTACAACATGGCGACAACCAACGGCGATGGCGCTGCCAATCTGGCTTCGCTATCTGGGATTCCAATCGCGCAGTTAAATCCCGATTTGCCCAATCAAGCTGCACGCGCCGTCCGCGGCGAGGTTACCATTACCTGGCCCTACAATTCCGTCACCAAGAAACTCGCCTTCCTAATCGCGGAGCCCGACGTGCGCCTTCGCCGCGCGAAAGGGCAAATACGGATAGAGCTTCAGGGCCCAAGCGCGAAGGCTGCTTCTGAAAGTGGGCTCGGGGCCGGCGATGAACTGCTCTTCAGCTTGGATGGCGCGGAATGGTCCAAGGATGCCTCACCTGGGCGCATCCCGGGTGCCAGAGTCGAATGGCAACTGCAATTCAATCAGAAGCTTGCGCTCCAAGTTCGTATTCCGGTTAGAGCGTTTTTCTTTAGTTTTCCTGACGCCTTTAGGTAAAATTCGGCGAATCGGGCGAGACAAAGTACATTAGCATCGATAGTCCCACGGCCAAACAAACGGACGACCTGATGGCTGAAGCGCCTCGGATAGCCACCCCCGAGCCAGAACCGACCTTGCTCGAAAATCCCACCACCGTTCGCAAAATATCGGAATTCACAGGGAACGAGTACCCCTCGCCAGCCTTTGTCAAGCGAGCCCGGCTTTCATATGGCGCTCTTTTCGAGGGCGGTTTCGACATATTCGAGGAAGATGGTGGAGTCAAGGGTAGAGGTCGAAAAAGAACGAGGTTTGGTCGCGACAGCAGCGCGTGGCGCTACAGCAGTCAGTCACCGAGCCCCGAGCGTGATACGCCGGTCTCAGACGCCATGGACGAAGATCAATTGAGAGACGCGACCCCTGGGTCGTTGCCCAAACCGCAAATGGCGGACGAGGGTTGTCAAACCGTAGAGGTCGAGACGGAAACAAGTGATGCTAGTCTTCCGAGATGGGAGAAAACCCCGGTCCCGCCAGAAACTCCGACTCCTCTCTCCCGGAAACCCTCAGCAGCGCCTACCCAAAAGCAGCACACTCCAATTCGCGAGGTCACCCCCGTCGCCCATATCCTTCAAGAGGAACCGGGCCCTGTAGTACCGCAACAAACCATCGATGTACCGTCGGAGGAGCCCGCCTCGACTATAGAATCAGCACCTACCACGGAACCGGACCGACACTCACCTTGGCCACCGGCCAACAGGGGAGAGTCCCAAGGGCAGCCCTCCACAACGGTTTCTCACCCAAATCTGCCTGCAGAAAGCAACGCCGAAGCAGTCCCAAATTCTCTGTTCGGCCCGAGATCTTTTACCTCCAACTTCTCTTCTTTCGGTGTTGGTGCGCCCGCTCAAGTGGAATCAAGCCTGAGCCTGGCTGAGCAGGTCAGATTCGGCTTTTCTCATATACCACAAACAACGCACTCTCCGTCTCCATCACAGCCCGAATCTGTCCCCGAGACAGGCTTGCACCAGCAAGATCCGTATCCGATGGCATTCCTAGATAACGCACCTGTCCTCCAAACACATTCCGAAATGGACACTTACACCAATGCAGCGGACAAAGAGCAGATGGCTGTGCAAGGCGAAAACATGCCTCCGGAACCCCCCGCGATTGAGACTTTTGGTGAGGGTCAATGGGAGATGTCGACACAACCCCCGCACTACAATTCGATCGAAGGCGGCCACTTCGGTACGGATGCTCTCGAGGAAGGGTCAAGGGCCCCAGCCGAACAGCTCTCGTTTCATGCGGACATCCCCCCTGACAGGGTGCCCGAGGGCTTTGCCAGCTATGGGCATGAGAATGTGCCCGACAGACATGAGGAGCAACCGCTACAGCCAGCATTACCACACGATAACCAACCGCTCGTCGAAAATGAGGATACTATTAGTGATGACGAGGTCGGCGTTGAGGAAGAGAAGGACGAAGGCGCCGAGTTCGACGAATACGCCTATGGTGAGCAAATCGAAGAGGGCGACTACGACCAGCGCAACTATGATAAGCCCTCTGATGACGAAGACGACCTCTCGGAAGAAGATGAGGAGGTTGAACTCGAGACAGAGGAGCGTTATGGCAACGACGAGGTGTACGACGATGAGGATGGCGAAGGCGAAGAGTGGGACGAAGAGGAAGAGGAAGAGGAAGATTACGAGAGCGGCGAGGAAGACTACGAAGAAGAGGACGAGGACGACATGAGCCGTTACCAGCCCAGAAGACCTGCTGCGCCAGTGCCGTCAGGGGAGCCCGTCGTTATTAGCCTGCTCTCGGACTCTGAGGACGAGGACGAACCTGTCCCAGAACCGAAACAGCCCGCGCTTGCTCCTCAAACGGCACATGCTCCGGCGCCTCCGGCAAGTTCGGAAGCACCGTTCAGTCCAAAACGCGAGGACACGCCGAGCGTGTTGGAGAGCGTGGAAACAAGCGACACGGAGGAGGAGCAGGTTCCCAACCCCGTCTTCGGCCAGACCGATGTTGTCGATTTCGCCACCCGAAACGTCAATATCATCCAGCACCCAAAGGCGCCGTTGGCAGATCTGGCTGCTCGCGCCGAAACCTCGCAGCCCGCCGCCCAATTTCCTGGCTCATTCGGAATATCCAGCGCCCGAGCTGAGTCGTATGTCCCGCAACCCCAACTGGTGCTCAGCGAAGAAGGCCCGTCGGACCTCCGCTTTGTCTCGCTATCGAAATCTCCGCCTGCACCAAGCGAAACTTCTTCGGAAGGTCTTTTTGTCTCGCAAATTCGCTCCCGATCCCCTGATGCAGAGGACGAGCCCGCCGATGCGGACTCCATAAATGAGCCCGAGCAGCCTACTGAAGTCTCTGCAGATGGTGACATGGACCCGGAGCTAGAGGGAGCGAGGGCTCAAGATGAATCCTCGGACATGGAACCCGAGGAGGAGGAGGAGGAGGAGCGGGAGCAGAAGGTGGTGGAGGAGGAAGTGGAGGAAGAGGAAGTGGAAGAGGCCACCGCCCAGCCAACCAAAGTCCAAAACGATGATACCAGCCTTCCTAATGCAGATGATGCGTCTTTCTCTGGCCAGGTTGAGATGCCAGAGGACGTTGAGGCCGTCACCTCGCCAACCAAACGCCAAGACGATGATGCTGGCCTATCTGACGCAGATAATATGTCCTTCTCCAGCCAGGGTCAGATGCCTGGGGAGGATGAAGCCGCCACCCGGGCAGCTGAACCCCAAGACGATGATGCTAGCCTACCCGACGCAGATAATTTGTCCTTCTCCAGCCAGGTTGAGGAGGATGAAGCCGCCACCCGGGCAGCTGAACCCCAAGACGATGATGCTAGCCTACCCGACGCAGATAATCTGTCCTTCTCCAGCCAGGTTGAGGAGGATAAAGCCGCCACCTGGGCAACCGAATCTCAAGACGATGATACTATCCTACCCGATGCGCATGATCTCTCTTTCTCTAGCCAGATTGAGATGCCCGATGAGTTCGGGGAGAGCGAAAGTGAATACATGAGCGTGGACGAAAATGCTCCATCCAACGTTGCTGTCACTGCGAACGTTGTTATGGCAGCTCTTGAGGTCGAAGAGGTCGAACAGGTCGAACCGATCGAAGAGGTTGCGGTTTCCGAGAAGGGCAATGTCTTCTCTTCTGAGGAAGACGTCGACATGGTTGATGCGGGCTCGTCGCAGGTGGACTCCGCGTCTCTGAAAGAAGTAGCTTCCAGCCCCTTGCGGGAAAGCTTGGGCGAGACGGCGGCTGTTGCCAGCCTCGTGGTTACCGAGGTCACACCAGAAGCCGCCACCAGCGCTGCTGCTGATGGGCTTCTTCCAGAGGCCCAGTCCTCTACACAACAAGAGCAACAAGTTCCGTCTTCGTTTTTGGCGGACCGAGAGCTGGCCGCAGCAGGATCGTTGCAGCAGATGGTGGACGACGTGGCTTCCTCCACTTTTGGCTTTCAAACTCAGGTCGACTTCGCGGTTCCAAAGGTGCCCGAATCCTCCCAGGAGCCTCCGGCTTCAAGTCCTGTCGATTATGTGGTCACGCCGCCAGTGGAATCTCAGCCTGGGACTGGCAAAGGCCTTGCTCCTAACAATGAGGTTATCAATGGCGCAGGTGGTGTTGACGCCTCGGTTGTAGAAACTGCCACTAAGGCTCCGACTAGCGATACTTTACGCGCGAACACCCCAGCTGAACCATCCTCAGTGCCGCCATTGGATGGGGCTCATGACCCTCCCGTTGAGGATGGACGAAAGCAACTCGTGGAGACCGAGGAATCTCAGAAGAGGCAGGAGACACGGGAGACACGGGAGAGTCTCGAAACAGCTCAGCAACCTCCGCCCTCGCCAAGAGATGAGCTAGAAGACGAGACAATGATCTTGGAGCAACTCACCCAAGAGCAACAGCAGTCGTTCGAGTCAGAGGCCGCCGAGTATCAAATGCGAAGCCGCTCGCCCACCCCCGACCTCAGCGTCCGACTAGCCCGTCAAGCCGTGGCATCCAAGCGTCACAAGAAGGCCACCGAGCCAGTCCGAACCAGCCCCCGGCTCACCCGCGCGCGATCCAGCAGTCTCCGCTCAAACGGCACCAATGGCACCCCGGAAAAAGAGAAACCAAAGGAAGACCCTAGCGTCAGCCTTGCCAGAGCAGCCCTAGCCTCGCCATCCAAACGCGCCGTCGAGGCCGAGGCCAAGGTCGAAACCGATGGCCCCGCCCCAACCACATCCACCACCACCACCTCCACCGCAACCGCTCTCAAAGCCGACCTCACCAAACGCCTACGCACCGAACTCCCGGAATGTGTCCCACTCAAGTCCCTCCGCACGCACCTCGACAAATTCCCCAACATCATCGCCGTCGTCACCACCTCGCCCCCCACCCAGCCCGCGCGCGCCAAGCGCGGACCCCGCGAGTATTTCATGTCCTTCCACGTCACCGACCCCTCGGCCGCCCCCAACGCCGTCGTCGAGGTCCACTTGTACCGGCCCCACAAGGACTCCCTGCCGGTCGTGCGCCCGGGCGATGTCGTGCTGTTGCAGCGCTTTCAGGTCGAGGCGATTAGCAAGAAGGGGTGGGGGCTGAGGACGGGGGCGGAGAGTGCGTGGGCGGTGTGGGAAGGGAGAGGTGGTGTTGGTGGGGATGTCGGAGGGGTGGGAGATGGTGTTGGTATTGGGGGGATTGGGGATGGGGATGGGGAGGGGTTGGTGCCGGCGACGCAGATCAAGGGTCCGCCGGTGGAGGATTGGGAAGGGGAA